TATATTTAATTTAATTAAATCAATCGGATAAAAAGTAGAAAATATACCGAATAGTTGATTAATCCTCAAGGGCTAGATCTAGAAATTTCTCCTTCTAATACGTGTTTTTTTTTTGTTCATTCAGATGAAATCTCATTTTTGTTTAAAGCTGATCAATAAATAAATGAAAATGTATCTTATTAGTAACAAAATTTCATCAGATTTAAGTTACATACTTATGCTTTAAGTGACACTGGTTCCATGTTAATATCATAATTTGTTCTCGAGATACACAAGACAAAAAATGAGAACAAACATTCATACATGATATGCCAAAATTAAGAATTTACAAAATTGGACCCATTGAAATAACTCTCCACTGAGGAGTGAAAAATCATATGACTAGTGATAAATATATTAAAATTAAATCTGACATTCGACATTTTTCTGAACAGCTGTTAACATCTGCATTCCCGTATAAGCAGCCACTTGAACCACAACAACTGTTAAAATCGTCATCATTTTTTCTCATCTCCCATTTATTCTTTTTCAGTGCGAACTTTAATTCTTTTTTTAATTGTCCCTTTTGCAAGACGCGTTACGGACGTCATTATGAGATTCTAACCTTTATTTTTCCGTTGGACTCTCACGATTTTGTCGCCCCAAGAGATACATTTACCAGCAAAACAAACTTATATCCTCTTAATGTTGCAGCCAATTCTTTGTCAGATCTTAGTTATATTTTTGCTGACGTAGTAATTCATTCTTTCACACTTTCTTCCTTACTTCTTCCTATTGAATTTTTTATACCGATTCATCTGGGAGACATTGTTTCTTTTTAACAAAAATTGGTACACATTTAATTTATTTTTATGAAAAAAAACCAATTAAAAGAAGTATTCTTTGAATAACCTTTGTAGTAGTAGGAGAAAATTAATTGAAATGAAGAAAAAATATAAACAGGAAAACCGTGATCGAACAATTATGTATACGGATCCAATGAGTGCCTATGGCAGGTAATAAACAAATCCTAGAGCGTAATAACAACAAAGTAGATCGTTAATGTAAATTTGAAAGACACAACCTCCTGAAACAAGGATAAACGGGCGAATGATTGTCATCACGGAACGAATTTTCACTCGCCTCAAGCGACAAGGCGTTACTCACGCTTCGTTATACATTTATAATGATTCCATGTCAAGCAATGTTCTTCCCTTTTTGTGGACAACAACAACTTTCGGGATTGTATGTAAGTTATAGTAAAAACGTTTTGCACATTTAAAAAAGTATTTCATAATAGAATTTCTTAACAAACAATGAATATGGCATATCAATGAGTTTGAAATAAAATTATGAGTCATTATGAGGATAAATAATTTATTTCAATTCATTAGTCAGCATTATTTTTATTTCTATTCTGAAAAAATAGTGATTTCATTAATGTCAATTTTTTCCGAAATGCAAAAACAATTATACTTCAAGTTGAATTATTTTTAATATAAACAGAGGAATTGAGTATAATAGAATTTAGAGTATTCATTGTATAAAAACAAATTATTTAATTGATTCAGACCAAAAAAATGGATGAACAGTTACACGAATGTACTTGATGGTGTCAAAACGGTGAATTTGAATAATGCAAGTATTACTTATGTTAATGTTAACTATTTACGTAAGTTAAATGAGACTTTGATGTAAAAATTTTATATCTAAAATTAGTTGGGAATATCAATTATAATTATTGTTCAAGAATAAAATAGTTACCAGGAAAACCCATTATTGGATCAGATTATAACTAGAACTCTAAATAGAAATAATTATTATAAGATCATTGATAATTAATTGGAAAAAAATTTTTTTTTTCATACTCTGGTAATATAAAAGTTTATCTTTTCATTTAAATACTATGATAAAATATTTTTTTATTATTTTAGCATCACACGATTTTCGTCTATTCTAAGTGGACTAATATTTCTATTCAAAACTTCATTAACGTTCTCGTTAGTCGATAAGGATAGGTAATACATATTTGTGTAATATAGAAATATGACATATTACATTGATAAATACTAGCGTTTTTAAATGAAATGGATTACCGTTAATATCATTCTTTAAATCACATACGTACTTTCGAATAAAATGGATTTACGTTCAACAAATTTAAATAATTAAATATGATTATCGTATACGACAAAAGTTTTACTTGATTTCAAGCTGCATTGACGTATTTATCTTTGTACAATTCGAATTGAAATAATAAGTTTAAATTACGTTCAAATCTATCTCTCAAGGCTTTCAGCAAGAATTTTAGTGACGTCAATTCGATGTTATTTTTTATATTACACTTAACAATATTCTTATTAATAACAATGTTTATAAGAATTAACAAAATTTCTTTATTTATACGTTAATTTATAATCAAATTGATTGAATTTTATTGCAATCGGAAACAATAATTTTTTGAAATCAATGCCCATTATTTTTATTATAAATAATATTATTAAAAATTTGACACATTAAAATGGCGTATTGTATGGCAATAAAATATGTAAAGTTGTTATAGAGTCCGGTAAAGTGTCCTGGAATCTGTTTCACAATCAACTCGAGCATATGCGTAATGTTACGTGTGACTGAACTTACCGTATCCTCGTCACTTACAATGGACCATTGTCTTGTTTTCTTCTCTTTTAATACTATTGAGGATTTGATCACTGTTTTACGCCCACGCGACAGAAATATTTTTGCTATCAACAATGAGTATAAATATTTTGTATTGATTTTTTATTATTTCAAAAAGTAACATTTTTCTATTCATTTGCATGAGTGCTGCTTCGATAGTTATTGCATATATGAGTAAATAAGTAAAATTCAATCAACCAGCTCACTTTAACCGTGCTATTTACCCTAGATTTTATAGTTATGATCTAATTTTGATAACTCAACTATTGCATGACGTTTATTTGAAATTTTATATCCACAGATTTGCTAGTGAATCATTTATATTCATTTATTGTTGTATATTTTTTGACTTTTTATTTTTTATCATTTTTGATTTTATGATCAATTTTATAGGCATCCGATTGATGTAATATATTAGCCAAGTAATCAGGATTAATTTTATTGACAAAATTTTGCGCAGACATACTTGGCTTATATGAGAAAGATATAATCTACATTGATATGTATTGTTGATGAAAATTTTCAATGCAAGCAGCTACTCGAATCCTGATGTACTTACGTATTGAGATGTGAGAGAAATAGGAAATCATTTTAAGTGATGCTCTTGTGAGAAAGCGATGATGAAATATATTATTTTTGGTTGTAATAAATAATAATTTATTACCACCCACGTGATTCTTGGCAACAAAGAAATTTTTATTTCTATTCTCGTAGGGACAAAATTATTTTATTGAAAATTTTAAATGTTTCAATATACAATTAAGAAGTAACTAGTTTGATTATATTAGATATAATATAAAAATAATCATTTGGATGATGAAAACAAATACTCTTAGACAAATTAAATGTATACAATATGAAATATAATAATATTTATAGATTAAGTTTACAGGATAGAGCAAAAAAAATAAGGATTTAAAGAAATTGTAGAAATTGTTGAAATCAACTATTCTAGTAAAGAATCATTTAATTTAAAAATAAAAAAAAATTTTTAAATAAAAGTAAATTTTTAATTCATGATCACTAGTTTAAAAATCGGGACATAAAAAATTTTTTTGGATGATACCAATAATGATATTTTTTGAAAAACCCTGTTAGGTATCATCAGACATGTGATTCACTACATCAAGAGAAATTTTTATATCTTAACTAACATAAAGTAAAAAAAAATAATACATTATTAATTGGGTATAAACAAATAAAATTTTTCGAGCACGTTGTTAATAAATCGAAAAAATATATATCTTCTTTATTTGATATACATCTATTCATAGAAATAAAAAATGGTAAAAAGAAGATTCAAAAAGTAAAAATGACAAGTTCAAAATTTATTTCGATTAATCGGAGGTTGACTGTTTTTTATAAAAATACATTGTTTTAACAAATTTGTTGATATTTTTCAAATTATTAATACCGATTGTACAACAGAAAATCTATTTTTACTTCCAAACATACATTTATGAATCAAAGTGTGTTTAATTTATTATTCATTTCTCTTTCTCATTCAAACAAAAGGCTTTTCCGAAAGTGTAAAGCATATTTACAGGGTTACTTGAAAAATAATTTATCAAGTATTGCAATTTTTTTACTAAACACTTTTTATCATTACTTTTGGATACAATTATGTTAAAATTTAAATTTTTGTTTTATATTGAGCTCATTGCAATTATGAATATGCTCTGTAAGATATTTAAAATGGCATAGTATTTGCCACTCAAGTTGAAATATTTCTACATATAACTTTTTAAAACAATCTGAACTTATTCCCTACTTGAAAATATTTAAATTTTCCCTGGCCTCCAACAACGGCACGTGTCCATTTATAATAAAATGTACATGACGTAGTGACGTGAAGATGATGCTGAAATAACTATTTAAAGTTTTAGGCTTTTTTAATTAATGATTATAGATGCCTACTTACATAAAAAAATTAGATAAAAACAGTTTTTTCTTCTTTTTTTTCCAATTAATACTCATACATATCGAGTTAATTAAAGTGAAAGTGTTTGAAGATCAATTAGATTTTTGTAAATAGAATTTCATCAGCTCAAACATAAATAAAATATTGACACATGTATTATAATAACAGATTTTTATGTGGGCACATTAAAAAAAAATTCTTTTTTCTTCTTTTTTCAGAGTTGGTTTATTTGAGCGGGAAATTTATGAGAGTTTTAATTTTTGACAAAAAGCTATAAAATTTTTGGATAATTCAACTGGAATATGAGTATAGAATCGGTGGGCGGATAAGGGGGGGGGGGGCGCATGCGCGCATCGACTGGAGCTTAGTAGGTCGCCGTTCGCGCGAAGTGACTCGCCAGCTAGGCCAGGCTATCGTGCGGCGTCTCTCAGTCGCACGTAGACCTTCACACGACGCGGGGAGACTAAGTAACGGAACGTGAAAAGCCGGGTCTCTATTTGTTTACGAGGCGCACGCGTCTGCCGCCTTCATTAATAACATATTAATGATAATAATAATTATAACTATCAATAATTAGATGCACAATAGCATTCGGAAAAAAAAAAAAAAAAATTAACAAACAAGTAAACCACTAATATTAATAAATAGATAAAAAAGAAAAATTGACGTCAGCCGAAAATTATGTTTAAGTGAGTGTGACTTTTTGAACGACTCTGGATTAAATTCAACAGTGGCGATAACAAGTGGACTGTCTTTGCGTAATAAACCGGCATCTCAAGTGTACAGGTGTGTACACGAGAACATTGTTTTGGTTCGTTTGACATCTGCGCGCGGAATAATCGCGCGCAAGTAGTTACGGCTGTGTTCAGTAGTGGCAGACGTGCAAGTCAGACAGACTTGCTAAAGAGAAACAAGCCCTATTTACTCTGTCAACGGAAAAAATGGTATACGGCGGTAATTTTGACATGGAGGCGGTGAGTTTAAATAAATAATTATCTTTCATTCGTTGTAAGTCGATGAATAGTTCGATATTAAAATATGAAGGTATTGTTTTTTGCAAGTAAGTGAAAGTTGGAATAATAATGGCAATCAATAGAAATGTGCTTAGTCATGGAGTAATAAATTGCTGCATTGATTTGAAAAATGAAATAAGTTTAAAAGAGTAGGTCGACATTATTACAAAGAACTGGCATTGACAGTCACCCGTCGCGTAATTCCATTTGGCGCGCGTTTCTTCGCACGCGGTTGACCCAGTCGCGACGACTTGATGTCTGCGCGAGCGCACGCGACAACTAGAGAAATCGCGCACTGGAAAGCTATAAAGGAATTGAACCTATTTCTTCGACGTACTATGATCTCTTTTTTTACTTTGCCTAAACTAATTTATGAATATAATATTTTTACAGAAGAGGAAGAATGATAATTATTTGTGCAAAATTTAGAAAAAAACAACGAGTGATAAAGAGATGATTATAATGCACAATTTCTTGGAGAAAGCGATCGCTAAACCGTGTAATTTAAACAGACATTATGCCATTTTATTTGAAATTACATTGACCTTTTTTCTTATCCTTTGGAATTTTTAAGTTTAATCTTAACACATAACATTTTTGTAATGTATCTGATATCATTAAGATACAGACTATGTAAGCTCTATTATACCGGATTCTTTTTCGTAAAAGAAAAGAACATTAACCAATTTTGAAAAAAACCTTTTTTAATCTTGCAGTAATTTTGATTTAATGTAGTTTAGACCAATTTTTTTTTCTATTAATCCGATGAACTTTGCTTGAGGGAATGTAAGATGTGCAATCTCATCAACTTTTTCTTCAAGTTGGTTTCCATCACCAAATTAGATTTATTTATGAAGAGTTTCAAGCACGTAGTTTTATTAATTTATTGCCACTATTATATCTACTTATGTTTGATAAATTATTCTAATGATTTAATGCTCTTTAATAAATTGTAGAAACATATCATGAAAGAATTAATCTTGAAAAAAAAATGAATAATTTATGTAAATAAATGGAACATTATTTATTTTTATTGCTAAAATATTTATCCGAACAATAAAGTGTTTTGAAAAAAGATTATACTAAGATATTAAATAATTTAAACATTGTTGCATTAACACAATCTGAAATGGCATTCACTGTATCAATGCATCGAATTCTTAGTATTACATAAAGTTAAATTAATTAAAAAAAAATAATTCTTTGTCTGAACTTTTTTCTTTACTTATTCAGACGATTAAAAGAAAATTTTTTGCTGGCCATTACATTGAAATTTTTCCGACTTAATACTTCTAAAATTAAAATTAATTGAATGCCACAGCATAAATTTAATAAAACATAATTAATGAAACTAAATTAAAACAATACTGTCAAATTAATTACTCCATTGTAAATAACACATAAATATTGTCAACATCTATATGGTTTTCATTCATTTTTTTTTCAATTAACAAAGAACCTAGTTTTATGTTTTTTTAATTTACGTATCTTATAAATACTTAATGGATTTTGAATTACAAAAAAAAAAAACTCAAAGAATTGATAATTCTCAAGGTTAAGTTTTTTCATTTAATATTGTGATTGAAATTGAAAATTTCTAAATAATAAACAATAAAAAAGATTGATTAAAACCGACTACAAGCCATTTTACGTCATAGTCTGAGCAAATCAACTTTCTTACCCAGAATTTGAAACAAAAGTTCTTTAACTAATTACTATTGTTTATTATGAATAATTTATTAATGTTAAAATCAAGTAAAGTATTAATGTCTATTAGAAATAATTATATTAATCAAATGTGTTTTTTTATAAATAGAAAAATAAAACATTAAACATTAATTATTATCTTGGCGTGTTGTTGCTTATACTCTGACGTGTGCGACTGATGTTCATGTGTATTACGTTTTTCTATGGCTGAAGGAAAAAATACGACACAAGAGCGATCGAGTAAACGAGTTGCTTGGCCGCGAGGAAGGCTAACTTTCGAATCTACTACTACTCCTCCTCGACGTGTTTCCCGCATCCATGATTCTTGCATGTCCCTTCTCCACCTCGGTCGAGAAATTCATTCGACACTTATGTGATGGAAAATTTTATGCCTTAATAAGAAAACGATCTTATATGTCAATCTTACGTGTTTATTTCTTTTGTATTGATACGGTAAAAAGGACCTTTTTATAGTTAATGATTCTTATTTATATCTGACAAATAATATAATTAAATATGGCGAAATGAATTTGTATTTATTAGAAATAAGTCGTGAGGTTTAGCTTAGACATAAAAAAATATTTGATAATACTTGATACTATTGAGTGAAAATTTGTCACTATAGTAAGTATGATATACATATTATTTCACTCATGCAAATTAATGCAAACAAATAATTTGTTCATTGAAAAACAAAATAAAGTAATTAATATTTTTTTATAATTTTCAAAAATAATAATATATTTTATTTGAATTTTTCAATGTAAATTATCGACCCTTTATTCAATATTAACTGAGTAAAAATGATGAATAAATTCTAAGACATAATTTTCGGTTATTAAATTTAATCGAATATTATTATTGAACGATTATCTGTATATAAATATTACATTTTTATCATACTATAATATTGAGTCATTTTGGACTTTGTTCATATTTTTAAGTCTGGACAATTATCAATTTTTTGTCTTCTGTGTATATGAACTTTTAATAAAAAAAATTATCTCTCAGTTCACTGTTACGATACTGACCTTCGCAAGACGAGAAAGTTATTTATTTTTACACTGCTCTTGTCAAGAAAATCAACTACAAACTAAATATTTTTTAGCCGTCTACTTTTAATCATCGTTAAAGAGTTGTTAGCATAATAATTAAAAGTATTTTGATGAATTCTATTAAAAGAAAGAAATAACAAAGTATAACATACATATTCATTAAAATTAAAGAAAAAAAAAAAATAAATATAAAGGATTCCCATTTTGAAGGCCAAATTAGGCAGAACAGTTTCTCGGAAAGTCTTCGTGCCAGTGTTCACACGATTCGCATGGATTTTAGCCCGGGGTATAAAAGGTAAAGATACATAAGTACTTCCACCACATCTTCATGTGCGTGCGGCCTTAAGAGACCCGCGAATCGCGGCAGTGCCCAATTAGCCGGGCAGCGCCGGTCACGGCGTGCAATCTCCTTAAGGATAGACTCACGGTAGCTTTGACTTTATCCCACCTTTATTTTCTTTCTTCAATAAAACCGAAGCAAATCAACCAAAGGATTTGTTTATGTTTATCAAATCGATTTCACAGAATATTCTCGGAAAGTCATTTAAATAACTTGCTTATGAATTGTGATAATTAATTAAGTCTGTAAAAATTATTTGCTGTTTTGAAAAAAATTATTTGTATTTAATGATGAGTTTAGTGAATTGCGGCTAATATTGATGTAGATTTAATTATTTATGAATATTTTCGTTATAATTTAATAATAGCTTTCATCAAGTGGAATAATTTGATGCAAATGTTCTTTTTAATTAATATTTGGATAATCCAATTAATGCACCTTTTATTCTGTGTTATTCAATACTAAAGTTTTACTTTCATTTTAGGATTGAAACTAAATTAAAAGTATGAGTCAACCTAAATCAACTTTCAAATTTTCTCTTTAAATTTTTGAGTTTATTCGAGTCATGTAAAATAAATCAGAATTCCAAATACTCACAAGTACTTCAAATTAATTTGTCTTAAAAAATTCACTAATTTAATCATAAATTTTCAGTTAATTGATTGCTTGAATTTTATATAAATGTCCTCAATCTTTTCCTTGTTCAACTTATGTTTCATAAAAATAACAAACAACATCATTAATAAAAAAAGATGAAATAAAAATGAAATTAACTATTTTCAATACATCTACTTTATATTATCGACAGTTGTTTTTTCATTACCAAAACTAGTATGATTTTATAACATTATATCTACAGCGTAGAAAATGACCCCGATTACTTATTAATGATAAATTGACAATATATCGATCTTTTCTAAATCTAAAATTAATTATGATTATTTTTTAGTTTTCTTTTTCATTGAGAAAAAAAAATAAGTTGTCGATTTTTCGTCTTTTTATGTGGGATAGAATATATCGCTTTGCAACATGAAAACAAACAGCAAACTCTAATTTCAAACATAGGTATGAGAAGAAAATTATTATTTTTTCAAGAATTTTTTTATTTAAATCTCCATTAGTTTGAAAATAGAAGCATTTTGTAATTTTAGAAAAAAAAAAAAATTACTTACAATATTATTCAATAATATGGATTAAAATATCACCTAAATAATAAATGCTATTAATTAACTCATATTTCGACTACTTTTTATTTTTTGCAGGTTATTTTAATTATATTATACGTCAGAATATTTATTATCTGTCATGTTCTATAGGTCATCAGTTGTTTTCATCAAAAACTAAATATCTTGCCATTTTTTATAAATTATCCTATTAATACTGGTTGAGCTATATCTTTTAAATTTTATAATTTATAATTAAAAGACGGTTATTTTTTGCTAATATTTAATGTCGTTTTTGTATAATATAAAATTATGTTAATATTTAAAAAAGGAATTTTTCGTTGCCATAAAATGTCTGATTAAATCATTTTTGCTTTGATTAACACCAACCAGGTGCGAGTGGATAATCCACAGCTACGTGCAGACATAAAATTAACAGTCAGGTATCGATAATTTGAACGAAGGGTGCGTGTATAAAAAAAATTTCTCAGTACTCTTTAACTATCTCTTTTGTGTCCTGAATCGTTAGTCGACGTCCTTGCTATGCCAATTCGAGTCCTGTCCCCGCTGTGTCTTGTATTAGTGAGGGCGTGGTTGGTCGCTCACAGCAAGTCGCACGCGCACCCGTTTCGAACGGTACAGCTGCAATGCAACTTCTTAAAGAAAAATAAATTCACTCTTTATCTAAATCTATTA